GGGTTGTAGGGTTTAGGGTTTAGAGGTTTAGGGTGTAGGGTTTAGAGTTTTAGGGTTTAGGGTTTAGGGTTTTAGGGTTTAGAGTTTTGGGGTTTAGGGTTTTAGAGTTTAGGGTTTAGAGTCTTGGGGTTTAGGGTTTAGAGCCTTAGAGTTTAGGGTTTAGAGTTTTGGTTTAGGGTTTAGAGTTTTAGGGTTTAGAGTCTTAGGGTTTAGGGCTTCGGCTTTAGGCGGTTAGGGTTTCTGTTTTAGCGTCCAGCACCGGCGTTTAGGGATTGCGTGTCTCGGCTTCATCACTTTTCTTTGCTACTCCACGGGGCACTTTGAAAAGCTACAGAGTAGAGCAAACGGGGAATCATGCAGGGATCATCGAATCCTTTCAGAATCCTCACATGACCCTTAAGACTATAAACCCTACAAGGAGGGAAGCGGGAGATTCGGCTCCTCGTCCTCGAAGTGCGCCGTCAGGAAGTCAGGAAGTAGGTCGTCCATGAATGTTGCCTGCAAGCGTCGCGTGGTGCCACGTGTTGAACAATGACCTCCTTCCAATACCAAAGAGATTTGAGTATAACAAACCCTACGTGTATAGAAACCCCTTGGTAGCCAAAGTGTATACTATGTGCCTATGTATTGTATAGTACATGGACCCTTGCGGAATGTAGTAACCAGGCTATCTGAGGGGAGGGAGGTGTTATGGTTGAAACACTATGCCTGACCCATTTAAAAACTCTAGTCCGCAGAAGTATGACATGTGTAGCAGGTTCTTTCTGCCGAGAATGGTGTTGGGACGTTCGAACCCTCTTGGAACAAGTCCAGGGTTCAGGGCTGTGGGGGCTTGCTGTTCAAGGTTTAAAAATGTATTTTACTAAGCCGCAAAACCCTGACCCCAGAACCCCCCCCAAAAAAACCTGAATCTAAGTTTTACCCTAACCGTAACCTGAATCCTACACTTAAACCCTAAACCCTAAAACCCGAGGTTCTCAAGGCTTGCGGTAGGTCACTGAAGATTTGGGGCCCTGCCCTGCATCCTGTCAAACATGCCTTGCTTTACTCATAGGCCTCTAAGTAGTTCCTTTTTATGGTTTATATTTAGAATCCTCTAAGGTAGTCCTAAAAAAGGAACTACTTAGGGGCCTATGGGTAGGGGGGGGCCACTGTAGAGTTTGAGTTGTGGGTTTCGGGGTTAGGGGCTATAGGGTTTAGGGTTCAGGATGTAGGAATTAGGGGCTCGGGATTAGGGTTTCTATAGGGATACATAAACGTTAGAATAGGGTCCTTTGGTTGAGGGCTTCGTTTGGAAGGAAAAAGAGGTTCCGAAACGGACTAGTTTGGTGTAGCGGGCCTTTATAAGCAGAACAGGGTTTCGGTGTATATCATCTACATAGAAGGGGGAGCCCGTGCACTTACTAACAATTTAGGCTTCCATGGCACAAGCTGCCTCAACCGGCACTTACCTTAAGCTAGCATAGCCGCGGCATAGCCTACCTTTATGGAGCGTCCATATAACTTCTGCAGTCAGGTTTTTGACACCTGCAAGAAGGTAGGTTAGGGTAGTTGTAAGTTGCACGTACGAGCTGATAGGGTCGGTGAAGTTACTGGAGTCAGGTTGAACCCGGGTCCGAATCCTGAAAAAGCTCGAACCAGCAAAGCCCCACGACTCGACTCTCAAAACATACCCCTAAACATTCAGAACCCCCGCTAACTTCGAACACAGGACTCAAACAACTCGGCACACATTTTGCTTTTGCAGCGGAAAATCGATTCGAGTGAGACGTCTTTGTCCGCAGCTGCTTCAGCAGGCCATTTGCCGGAGCTTTTGCCACCAGAACGCGGGAAAAGAATACAGACAACCAAGATGCTGCGCGAGGATAACTCATGTCGCCGCCTTCAACCCCAACCCTTAATCTCTGCAAATCTACGCCTCTTCATGTGCAAAAACACCATTAACACTGACACCCTTAAATCCCAAGCCACATATACTATAGCTTCTTAATAGAACCTAAACCTTCTGGCAGGCTTCCGCTCAACACTCAGCGTCGCTGTCGTCGCTGGCATTCAAGAACACATCGCCCATCGTCGCCTTCCAGCCATCTATGCCCATAGCCATCTCCTGCTTGCTGGCGGCCTTTACCTATAGTCTCCATTCTAGTTCCTTTTTTTGGTTTAGTTTAACCACTTCTATATTCAGGATCCTAAAAGGCAACCCCTAAAAGGAGCTACAATGGAGAGTATAGGTAGGCTTCGGAGGATCATGGAAACTTCAATCCTTTTCGCCTGAAAACCCCCAAAAAGACCTAAACTCTATCCTACGCCCTGAACCCTCAACCCTAAAACCTTAAGCCTTAAACTCTGATCCGCTTTTAAGGTTCTGGGACACAAGTCTGGGTCAAATTTTATTGCGCAAAATTGCCATGATGGCTGGCTGGATGACTTGTGGGTAGTGAACCCCCGACTACTGCAAATGCCCACCCCCTAATACAGAGAATGGGAAGCCTAATCTTTGTTTTATACGTGGTCGGGGTATTTGCATGCTAGGCAGGGGGGAAGGGATTAAGAATAGCTTGAACGGGATCAAATCTCCTCATCCGTCAGAAGGCAGCTGTCCAAAATCTGTTGGACCTTCTCGTGCTTAAGGTCCTTCCCGATGAAGACCATGTCCTGCTCAAAATTGCTCAACTGATGAGGGGATAATAGGCTTGCAGTCTGAGGATGCTTGTGCTTGAAGCCTCGGATCTGGTATGCCTGGAAGGTAGCTTTAGCTGACCGCCCCCCCTACAACTTGGGGCGCCTTGTTGTGATTTCTCTGTATTATGTGCATATGTATGTGTATATAAATAGAAATATAAATAAATATATATATATATAAAAATTTATATGAATATATATATATATATTCATTTATTTAGTTGTTTGTTTATTTATATGTATGTGCTATTTATATGCTGTTTAATTAAATAAACAGGTATACATATATGTGTACTTACAAAATGAGAGTCTGGTGAAGAGCTATCCAATAGACCTTCAATATGTACTACCCCGCTAACCCTGCAGTGCGCCAGTTTTGTTCCTCAACCAACAAACCTGCGTTGAACCGTAGCTCCTGATCTCCGAAATGTAAACTCTACCCCTAAGGCTCAAACAAAACAAACAGCCTCATGTAGTATGGTCTTTGGGCCCAGATGCCCAAAAGCCTGATAACATGTGTCCTTAGAGCCTTTAAACACCATGCAACCAATCATTGTAGAAGATATATAGCATCTCCATACACCAATGCCGACATACAAGGTGGGTGGGCATCCTCCCCAAACCCTAGACCCTAAACCCCTTAACCGTCCAAACCCTAAACCCTAAACCCCTAAGCCTCTAAACCCTAACCCCTAACCCCTAAACCCTAAACCCTTAAGGGCATGGTTCAGGAGGAGGTCCTGTCTCCGGTCGCCGTAGGGCGGCTGAAAGTCCTTGCAGATTGTGGCCTCGGACGGAGAGGATTTCAGGTTTGTTGGTTTAGGCTTTAGGGGGCTTCGGGGTTTAGGGTTAAGCGCTTCGAGGTCTGTTACGATTTCAAGCTGCAGCCTTCGGACCCTGGATCCTAGCATAGGGTTTTTCTGGGGGTTTAAGGCCTACCTGTGTTTGTGTTTGACCCGGCTACAACGTCGATTCTGTAGGGGGCCCACCATCCGTGAAAGTTGTTAGCTTCGAGTCCACGTCGAGGGAAGGGCCTAGTTGCGGGCTTTATAAGCGACATAAAGGGAGTTCTAAGTGATTTATAGGGAAACCCTAAATACTAAATACTAAACCCTAAACCGAGTTATAAAGGGAGGTATTAAAGGGTTTTTTTGAGTGTCTGGCTCCTTGCCTTTATGGCTTTCGGGTTGTAGGCTCAAGATCTGAAGTTTCAAGCTGGTAGGGCAACTCTGGGCGCAGTACTGGTTTCGAAATTTAGGGTTTAGGGTTGAGGGTTTAGGGTCAGTTCTGGTTTCGATTTTGCTTCCTGCGCCTTTCTAGCTTTTGCTGAGGGCCTGTGTAGCCGGGGCAGAACCCCCAGACACCCAACATCATTGCCCTAAGCCCGAAACTGTATCCTAAACCATGAAGGATAGAGGCCTTAGGGCATTTGGTTTTGGATGAAGGCTCTCTACCAAAGCCGATGTCCTACACCCTGAAACCTGAGCGCTATGGGCCGAGATGCCCTCTCCCGATATCCCAATAATCTCAAAAGCCCTGTCAATCCCCAAACTCAAACTCCCAAAATACCGTAAACTCTACACCCTAAACCCAGCGTCTCTGCGTGCTTGTACTTATGAGGGCGACTTCGGTCTCAAGCCACTCGGGGGAAAAAAGTCTCAGAAACCTACAAATCCCAAATCCCAAAACCTAAAGCTCTAAGCCCAAAGCCTCAAAACTCAAACGCTGTACATCCTGAGATGCAAAACCTGAACCACAGTCCCAAAATCCCTAAGTCGAGTCGCACGCTCCGTTTTGGAGCCTTCCCAAGCCGCAGCCTGGAGAGTCAGCCAGCGTTCCTTCGGCACTTGAGGGGTTTGCGCTTTGGGGTTCGGGGTGTTAAGGTTTAGAGGTAGGGCTTGTAGGGTTTAGGGGTGGAGTTTAGGGTTTGAGGATTTAGGGTTCGGGGCTTGATAAGAACTTGGGTCAACCGGTCATCAACAACATCCTGAAGCTTCAATCAAGAAGGAACCAGTGATCCTAGTTGTACCAAGGCCCTTGAATTGTAGTCGTTGCTTGCGAGCTACCCTGTTGCCCCTTGAAGGGATCCCAACTCTAAATCACAGCATAGGGAGTTACCTTGTAGGATATCGTTCTAAGCTTCTTCGCTAAGCCTGAGTCCCTGTTGAAGAACCCCGACAGCATTGCCAATCGAGTCGCTGGAAACTGGATCGTGAGCATGTTGGCAGCCTTGCACGAGATGCTGCGTGAGCCCACCCAGCCCAGTCCCTTTTATCCTTCAGCATCTCTATATATATATATATATGTATATATATATACATATATATATATAGAGAGAGAGAGAGAGTCTTATACATAGCAGTACATATATATATATAACTATAAATATATTTATGTCTTGCCTCAAACCCTAGGCCGTCAAGCTCAAGCCCTAAACTTCTAAATGCTGAAGCCTCAACCCCAACCCCTAGACCCTAACCCGTACGGCCGCCTATCAGCACAGCACAGTACTGTACCCTTAAACTCCTCCCTACAGCATCTAACAAGCCGCTTCTGTGGGATTTGGGTTTTTCCAGCTTCAACGCTCAGGCGAGCAGACTCAAGAATCAGGGCCCAAACCGAAGCCCCTAAGCCCTAAAACCCTACACCCCGAAATCCGTAACCCTGAGCCCCACCTGAAGCCCCAAATATCCCCAAACCGTAGACCCCTGAACGCTAAACATCTGTAGACTCCAAACCCCTCAACCCCTAAAGCCCTAAACCCTAAACCCCTAAACCCTCAACCCCCAAACCCGAACCCTAAAACACCCCTAAACCCTAAACTCGCAACGCCGCTAAAAACCCTAACACCCATGGGCCCCTAAGTAGTTCCTTTTTGGAACTATATCTAGAATCCTATAAATGGAACTATTTAGGGGCCTACGGGTAAACCCCAAACCCCTAAACCCCTAAAGCCCTAAACCCTAAACCCTAAAACCCTTAGAGAACCCCTTATAGATCCCTTTAAAGGAACCCTGAAGAACCCTTAAAGAACCCCTTATGCGTAACCCATGGGCCTGGCTAAAGATGCCCATGAGGTCATGCCTGTTCGCCAGCCACAAGAATCCTGGGCCAAAGGGCCGTAAGGTCTTTTTTTTTTTGGTGTAGTGGCCTTTCTCTCTGCAGAGGTCGGGGCCTGCTTTGTGCAAGTCAGGTTTGGTGATTGGGGTTCGAGTTTGGGGTTGCGGCTTTAAGTACCTATATGGTAGGGTTTAGGGTTTTTTCTAAAGTGCAGTGGCCATTTCTCAGCATCGAAAGTCGAACGCGGAAACAGCCTGCTCACTGACGAGGGTTTAGGGTTTAGGGTTTAGGGTTTTAAGTACCTATAGGGTAGGGGATCTACTAAATCATAAACCCTAAACCCGACTGTAGACCCCAAACCCTAAACCCCAAAAGCCCTAAACCCCTAAACCCTAAACCCCTAAACCCTAAAAGAGGTACTTAGGACCCTTTGGGCCAAGACTCCTCGGCGGGTTTACGGCTTATGGGTTTTTAGGGTTGAGGGTTTTATAAGGGGTTGTAATCATGATTTCATTGGGTTCTACGTTTGGCTGTATGAAGGTCTACATCTGTTTTTGTGTGGTGCTAACATGTCTTCAATATAAGGTTTCTATGGTTCACGATGGCTTTCTTGCGACCCTGAAAAGCAGGCCGAAGCGCCTGTGCTCCGTCCTAAACCCTATAAGCCCTAAACCCTAAACCCTGAACCCCCTAAATCCTAAACCCTATAAACCCTAAACCCCAAGCCCTAAACCTAAACTAAATCCTAAACCCTAAAGCCTAAACCCTAAGTCCTAAACCCCTAAACTAAGCCCTAAACCCTAAACCCTGAAGCCCTAAACCCCTAAGCCCCTACACCCTAAACCCCAAACCCTATAAACCCTAAACCTCAGGATCCAAGGCCGAGGCGCCTTTGCTCCGAAGGAGGCCTCCCAGGGTTTCCTCGCGAAGCCGCTTTTTCTTGGCAGCCTCGGAGAGAAAAACTGGAAGACCAAATGGGTTTCCTGAGTTTTGCTTGAAGGGTTTAGGGTTTATACGTTCAGTTAGGGTTTAGGGTTTAGGGTTCAGGGTTTAGGGTTTGGGCTATGCTGAACCTTGAACCCTAAACCTTTAGGGTTAGGGCTCCTTCAAGTTCGTTTAAAGGTCCTTTGTTACCTCTTCTTCAAGTTGCCCTTTGCAGGAGTGTAGATTGTAGTTAGACCTGTTCAAATCCTGAGCCCTAAATCTATAGAGTCGGTCGTAAAGCTGTGCCTACGAGTTCTGCGAGGATCTGGGCACCTGGCAAGTAATTAGGTTTTGCTTTAAGGACATGTGCACTTGTACCGAAACACACGCGCACTGGCCAATATATGGAGGGTTTAGGGTTTACCCATGGGCCCCTAACTAGTTCCTTTTGGGGATTACCTTATAGGACTCTAGATATAAACCATAAAAATGAACTACTTAGGGGCCTATGGGTAGGGTTTATGCGTGAGGTAATATGCCCCTTACGGTACTCATCAGCCTACTTGCTACAGTCTCTAGTCCGTTTTTTGAGAAACTTACGAGGTTCTAGGGTTTTGGGGCTCCGTTCAGGGTTTAGGCTTCTGGTTTTGGGGTTAAGGGTCCAGGGATTGGGAGATAGGGTAGCTAGGTAGGACGAGGTAGGAATGTGAGGCGATCTTAAAGCATAAGTTCCCCAGTGCAGACGTTTAGGGTTTAGGGTTCAGTCTGAGTTACAGGTGCTTAGGTCTAACGTTATGGGTCTGATTCCTCGGATCCAGGGTCTAAGGCTTCGAGATTCGGAGTTGCGGGGCCAGTGACTGCGTCAGCGAAATCGAGCTAAGAGGGACGTGGCGACGGTACAATGCTTCAAGCAAGCCCCCTAAGCCCTGAAATCGTAAAGCCCAAACCACTTACTCCTTGAGCTCAAGATCCCTGTTTGCCAGGGACACGCCGGTCCCAGCGGGCACTGGTTTAAAGAGTTGCCAGGCCCAAAAACCGGGTGATACAGAGCGGTTTAACCCCACTTAGCTAGGCTACCACAGCCTGACCCACGCAACCTAGAATCGCACAAAAAATGGGCAATAAACAACGAACCGTCAACTTTACCTAGACACCTACAACACAACACTTGAATTCCTGTTCCTGTGGACAATCTAGGAGACCACTGTTAGGGGATGCGCGGTGGTCCTTTCTTTATGGGGATCGGCAAAAGTCGTTGTAGTGGTATTTTCTTACCGTCCCTATATCAGTGCACTAGAGAGTCTATTTTTTGTTCAAGAACCCTTTACCCCCTAAGCCCGCAACCCAAAATCCTGTAGGCCCAAAACCCAATAACCCCTAAACCCCAGCAGCCCTCTAACCTAACCCTTCTAAAACCTAAACCCTGGCCCCCAAAGCCTCTTAACCAAAAACCCTACAGGTTTCAGGGTTTAGGGTTTAGGGTTATAATAGGCCCCAAAGCCTTATAGGTTTTAGGGTTCAGGGTTTAGGGTTCTAGGCCCCAAAAGCCCTCTAAGCCCTATAAGCCCTGAACTGGAGCCCGGCTCTTGCCATCACGGCGGCTTCTGCTTGGCTTCGCCGTATGACCGCGTCACCCTGAGCCTGGCAGAGGGTTTCGGGTCTGGGGTTTAGAGGTTTAGAGGTTTAGGGGTTTAGGGGTTAAGGGGTTTAGGGGTTAAGGGGTTTAGGGTTTAGGGGTTTAGGTTTTGGTTTAACCAATCCTAGAAGGTAACCCCGAAAAAAGGAACTACCATGTAGACTATAGGTAGTTTCCCAAATTAATGGGCTACTTCAGTTCAACCCAAAGTACTAAGCAGTGGGACACTAGCGGAAAGTAGACTGTAATTGTGGGCGACTGGCGTTCCAGGCAAGGAAATGACAGTAAGGAGCCCCACAAGCGCAGACAATGTAGATAAGACGGTTTAGGTATACTTTAGGGCTTAGGATAGAGTGCAAAGGGTGCATGGTCTAGACACCCGATACCAAAATCTCTAGACCCCCGAAACACTAAAACCTGAACTCGCCTTTGGTTTACGAGTTGGGGAGTGCAAAGTTTGTTGGAATTAGGGTTCGAGGTTGCGTTTAGCAAGACACCTCCAACTTGTGCTGCGTCTGAGCCGAGCCATATGAAGTAAGGTTTCGGTCTGAGACTCAGGGCTTAGGGCTTCTAGCATGTGTAGCTTCAAATGGGATGCACCCCAAACCGCCCAATGTACGACTCTATGGATTGTATAGCTTCCAACCCGAATCAACAAGCCAAAGGCAAACAGCAACATAACACGGGGCTAGATGTCTTGTCTTGGGGTCTTCGAAGCCTCCGAGAAGGAACACTACACACACAGGCTCGAGTCGAACACTACGTATTAGGGTTTAGGGTTTATAGGGTTTAGGGCTTATTAGGGTTTAGGGTTTAGGGTGCATGAACCTTGTTCTCCGCGTCGGTCTCGTGAAGGACGAAGAACTTCTGCACAAAGGCTTCGTCAAAGCGGACGGGGTGGAAAGGCCGGCGCGCACGGTACCTAGCGTGAGGGCCTTGATGTTTAGACTAGGGTTTTGGGTTACACTAAATATCATCTATAACCCTACGGGTCCAAGTACCCGTTATTTACAGACTGTGAGGCCTTTTTGGGTACCTAAAGCCATAAATACGGACTACTTGGACCCTTTAGGTAAACTAAAAGGAACCCTAAGGAATAATGTTGGTAACTACTTAGGCCCTTATATTAGTGCCAAGCCCTCATGGCTTTGGGGTTCTTGAATTTAGAAGAGCTTAGGCGCAGGCCTCCGGCACGTCTGAGGGACTGGTTCTATTATGATCGGCAGATTATACCTATAGTCTCCATTGTAGTTCCTTTTTGAGGGTTACCCTTTTTGGATCCTTATTTAAAATTGGTGAAACCAAAAAAAAGGAACTACAATGGAGACTATAGGTAAGTTGCGGTCCGTCCTGAATTAAGCAAGGGTTGACGTGTTGAAGCCAGGGTTGCTCCCGAAGCTACTAAGCCTTCGATTCCCAAAACCGATGTCCAAAGGGTGCTAAGTGCCTGCTATGGGGAATACTTGCCCAAACCACAATAATAGGAACTCCTATTCTGGAAACCCTACATACCACTAAATGGGTACTTAGGACCCGCAGCGAACCCTATATAAACTAAAACCCTAAAACCCTAGGCCCTAAAACCCCAAACCCTAAAACCCTAAAACCCTAAACCCTAAACCCTAAAACCCTAAACCCTAAAACGGTACTTTACTTATCGATGGCCCAAGGGCAGAAAGGACGTGATGCCGAATCGGATCTCGTGTCGGGTCTGTCGCGCAGCAGGGGCCAGAATGACATCCGAGATACCTGAGCTTCAAAGCCTAGGGTTTAGGGTTTTAGGGTTTTGGGTTTTAGGGTTTAGGTTTGGGGTCTCGCGATTAGGGTCCAGAGTTTATAGGGCCTGGGGTTTAGGGAATGACTTCCGAGATACCTGAGCTTCAAAGCCTAGGGTTTAGGGGCTAGGGTTTGGGGTCTAGGGTTTAAGGTCTAGAGTTTAGGGCCTGGGGTTTAGGGAATGACATCTGAGATACCTGGGCTTCAAAGCCCTTCCTATAAGCTCCGTTGTAGTTCCTATGTGGGGTCACCTTATAGGATCTGTAGTATAATAGAACTACTGTTGATGATATAAATCCTGCATTACCTTAAGGACCCTAAACTATACAACCGTAGTTAAACCAAGAAACTACAATGGAGACGATCAGTTTAGCTGGAAACCCCAAGGTCCCAAGTGCTTGGAAGGTTAGGGGTTTAGGGTTTAGGGCTTGGGGTTTGGTTTAGGGTTTAGGGTTTGGGGTTTCGGGTTTGGGGTGTAGGGTTTCATGGTCCTAGGATTAATTAAAGTTGTGTGGCTTCGTGTTGCTTGCTGGGATGGGGTGCTATATGATGAGGTGTTTGGCTAATTCGCTAGAGTCATGCCGCTGACAATAATACCAAACCCTTTAAGTCCTAAACCCTGACGCCTGCGCAAACCTGAGCTTAACACTTACCCTAAACCCTAAACCCTAAACCTGAGCCTCACACTTGAACCCTGTACCCCAAGCCCTAGCACAGAAACCCTTCAAGCCGGAACACTCAACTCCAAAACCGCTTGAATCGTAGCGACTGCTGTGAACATGCGACTCATTACTGGATCCTCCCGAAGGCCCAAGAAACCGCGCGACTCGAATCACTACGGTTGATGATATAAATTCCTGCATTACCCCATAATAAGGAATATACCATAATTTCCATGGAAAAGGGTCCTTAAGGTTATGCAGGATTTATATCATCAACAGTAGTTTGGGAGTCTGAAGAAGTCTTGTCGGTAGAAGTAGCTTCATCGCCGCAGAGGGGCCTACACAAGTTGTATTTTTGTTTTGCTGCTGGGGATGGGCGGTGTAAGTCTTAACCATGGCTTCAGGTCTCGGGCATGCGAGGATGCAGGATTTGGTTTTACGATGGGGTGTACCCATCCAACCTGCGAACATCCGTTCTGCGATGACCTGAACCCGAGATGCAAGACCTCAATGCCAAAGATCCGAATGCCGCTGTCATTGCCTGGTGATTTTCGGGTATCCCCAAAAACCGACCTACTCCCTAAGAAATCCTAAGCTTATGCTCAAGGCATGGGCTCACAGATTTAATAGCTCAAGGGTCCTAAGTGCTTATAAGGGGATGCTCACCCAAACCATAACTGTAGTTCCTACGATACAAACCCTACTTTCTACCATATAAGTATATGGGACCCTTTGAGTAAGGGTCCCTAAACTCTAAACCCCACAAAATGTAGGGGCCTCAATGATTAGAATAGGGCTTTGGGGTATATTCGTAATTAGCCATAGGCCCCTAAGTAGTTCCTATTTGGGATTACCTTATAGGATTAAAAAGGAACGGTATTTAGGCCCTTCTATTAGCCCGGATGCCTCCTTTTGTGCTGGGCTGCCGCTTCAACGGCGCGCAGCAAAAGGCCTCCCCCTTCTGCGCCTGCAAAGAGGCAGGCCTTCCAATAGGGTTTAGGTTTAGGGTTTCGGGTTTAAGGAAAACCCCCTGAACTACCCATAGTCTCCATTCTAGTTCCTTTTTGGGGTTACCTTTTGGGATCCTTAATATAAAATTGGTTAAACCAAAAAAAGAACTACAATGGAGACTATAGGTAAGGAATATACGGTTTATAGGATTTATAGGGTTTCGGGTTTAGGATT